AATACTTTTTTGTGAAAGTTAAATAAATGTACACTTGTGCATTTACATTGTATAGGACATACGTCATGGAAATTATGTTTTGTAAAGCCAGCAGGGAGCATGAGTTTTGTAGACCTGCAGCTGCAAGGCGCTATCGATGACGTGGTAAAATGGATTTGTGCAATCTCATGATTTCAAATAAAGGTGTTGGGGACCGTGAAATTTGTTATCGAGGTGGTTTTTCTTGGGAAGGTACCTAATCTTTTTTTCTCTTTCTTTTTTTGTCTCAGCTCTTTTTCGTTTTGAAAACAATTAACCCAGACGAATTTGGCATGTTATATAAAATAAATAAATGTGCACTTCTGCATTTTTGTTGAGCATGTCCATGATCGAACAGTCACTGTGAGGCACTCACATGAACCCAATAACTATCCATATCTATTAGTCACAGTTAACATTGTTTAGTACAATTAGTGGAAAGATAGAAAGATGAAAACTTTTTTTTTTCTTTTTATTAGAGAAATCAATAATAAACTATCTATGTGAATGAATCACACAGGTAAAATTGTTTAACACAATCCGTGTAAAGATAGAAAGACGAAAACTTGATGGGCAAGTTCTACAAATCCAAACACAGCCTAAATAAAGAGAAACTATAGTTAAAGTAATTTGACTATGGTTGGATTAAACTTTTACAAGTCCAAACATGGGTTAGAGAAAGAAAAACTATAGTTAAAGTTTAACTTGACTATGGTTAGATTAAACTTTTGGGATCACAAACAAACAGAGCAAACCAATACAGTACTTGCCACGTCAGATATACGGTGAATCTTCAAGGCAGAAAAAAAACAAAAAATATAAACCAATTAAAAAGCAACTGTGGATAACTACAAAGTTCCTTTTAAACCATGCTAATACGGTGACATTTAGACTAATTCAGTAATTCTCTAAGCTTTAAATTGAACATCAAGCACTTTGCTCGACTTGTTTAACTATGAATCGTATAAGATTTTTTCTAGATAAAACTTAACCATGACGCCATGGCTGTATTTACCTCAACTATTGACTGTGTCTAAATGTTAGATTAGTGTGTACATCAAGAAACACATTGATTCCTCTTAAAATTGGAAAAGCAAGCCTATGTACATAAAGTTGCAAAGTTTAAGTAAGAGACTAAGAGTATTCATCCTTGAATGAATTCAAAGACCTTTCTAACTAAATTATACCAATAAAGGTATTTGAAATTTTGAACTACCGTAAAATATAAGATATCATCAAAGAGTTCTTGAAATCGAAGAAGAGATCAGAACGACATACCTTACTCATTCAATTTTTCAGACCTATATTCTTTTAGATCTTCCGAATTGTCTTTCCATTTTTTATTTAAACGATTTTTTTGTTGATTAATTTTTTAAATTTTTTATCTAGAAAAAAAGGGAATGTATGTATTTAAACTTTTTGTTTTAATGGAAATAATAAGAAAAGAAAAAAAAAGAAGAAACAATCCATCTCTTAAACCCGAAAAATCCTCACTTCCTTCCTTTCCCTTTGCATTGTCGATCTATACGTGCCGTGGGAGGGACTCACAGCTTTTCTCAGTTTCTCTCTACTGTTCTGTTGCTTCAACTTTTGTCAGCTTGTAGAGCCTTACTTGTACTGTAAGTGTAACTCTCTCTGGATTTTGAATCGAATTCTAACATGTTTTCATTCTAAAATTCTTGTTGGTTACTTAACGTGGAGTTTACGCAATTGTTTTCATATCACGAATACTTCTTCACGTCTTCTTGATATACCTCCAGGAGTTTGCCTTTTGTATTCCTCTCAGAACTTATTCTCTTATTTATCGATCTAGGGTTAGTGTAACGAATGAATGACGATGATGGATATTGTATACTTTTCCTTATAATCGTTAACAAAATCCTCAAATCACATCCAGGTTTTACCATGACAACACAGGGCAACAAAGAGGTTATCGTGAATGGAATTCAAAAAATATCTCAAGAACAATGGCAAGCTGACGTACTCCTCAAGGCAGGAGACAGTGTTGAGGGTGCAGCTATCCCCGCACGCAAACTTGTTCTGGTTTGCTCTAACTTCTTCTTGTTAATCACCATCGAATCTTTTTTTATGAAACGGTTGTTAATGGTTAATGCTACTAGGCAGAAAGATCAGTGGTGTTTAAGAAGATGCTAGAACCAGACGAGATCAAGGCTTCGGCGAAGCTAGAGACAGTAACTCTCTATGAGATGAAACACGAAGAAGTTGAGGCTTTAGTTGAGTTCATGTACAGTGCTGATGGCTCCATTCCTTGTCAAAGTCTCAGGAAACATGCACGATCACTCTATCTTGCAGCTGACAAATATGAGATTCCACATCTAAGGGACATATGCAGAAAAGAGCTTATATCCTCTCTCAATCCATCTAATGCTGTTAGCATCCTTGAGCTTGCCCAAATCCCTTTAGACATAGTCCTTCACCATTGCGCATTCGCGGTTGTCAGGAGCAATTTTAACACGATTGCTTACTCTGATAAGTTCAAGTCGTTTGCCATCAATTACCCAGATCTTGCCGTGGAGATAATGAAAAGTTATCTTACTTCCTCTAAGAGCAGAAAGATTTGTAGTTACTGTGGTTCCCGTTGTCGTTCCTGCTGCAACTACTAGAAGAAAACTATAAGTTCACTTTTGTTGTTTCATCTTTATTTTTGTCGACTGTTTTTTATCGACTTTGGATTTATCTTATGAATGTAATCCAAGAAAAACTTTCCTTTCATTCTCGGAAAGATTTGTACACAGAAACTAAAGTTGAGACCTAAGGAGTTTCACAGAAAGATTAACACAAAACACTTCACCAAAAAGGATATGACATTTTGACTACACTATCAATGTTTTCTTCCACCTTTATCCTCTTCTTGTAAGGCATAAACCCTCGAACAGACTGCGTCTCTAAGTCTAGTTTCTTCTTGACATCTTCTGAATCATTAGAGTTGTAGTCACCAACTACAAAAGTCATTCCAAACAGCGTAAGGCTTTGCTTGGTCTCTGCTTCTGGAAACAATGACTCCTCTGTGTGAGATGATAACGAGTTAGGTGAATTTGAACCCATTGAACCTAACCCATCTGACAAAACCGATTTTGGAGATCGGTTATCTTCGTCTATAACCAACTTGGCTCCGGTTAGCTCAGCGTATGCAATGTCTTTAGCATCAGGTATCACTAGCTTTCTAGGGTAAGGATGCATCGGCTTTCTTTTCGGCCTTGGAGGCGGAATCTCTATCGAATTCTCAGAGGTGACATCGTAGTCACGAGCAACCTATTCATAAACATGAATTAGATCTTGATTTTTGATATAGAACGTTCTTGTTTAGCAAAATTTGAGCTAAAAGAAGAAGAAAACAAACCTTAGTGAAGAACTTCTGAGCATGGCTTCGAATCTGAACAGCAGTCTTTGTTCCAACATGTTCTGTTCCATAGAAGAATCAACAAAAGTCAACATCTTTACCCATTTAAGTTTGCATTAGAGACTCTATATCTAGATAAGCACACGCACACACACACCTTCGATTTGTCTCCAAGATCTGCCATACAGTTTCAAAGCCTCTACAAACATCTCATGCTCTGTTTCTGTCCATTTCTCTCTTTGTTTACTGATGGTATAAGGCTTTCTTGTCTACAAAAACAAAACCCAATACAAATGTTTTAGATCTGAAGATGAGATTTGAAACCAATTATGAGTAGACAAGAGATTTAATAAGTTACCTTGAGGTAAAAGGCATCCGTGGATGAGATGAGCTCATCAGAAGCTCTGTCACATAAGCTCTCACAATGTTCCTATAATAAGAAAAAGAAAGAATTAGTCTCTTAACACAAATATTGTAAAGTGAAATTAAGAGTGTTAAAAACTAATTAAAATACGGATCTAGAAGGTAATTAGGGGATTTGAGACCTTGCTCTTACCTAGTTCTCAATAGACAATACAATAAGTAGTACAACCGACCATAAATATCCCACAAATCGCCTGGTTTTTATAAACACAATTTAACCTGCGTCAATCGAATATTCTTCAGTTCCGATTTCTCTCGGACATAAACAAAACACAAGTTGGATTTGGAAAGACCTAACATACCTCTTAGATCTGCCTAATTTCTTAAGGTTAATCTGGTCTATATACCATAACCTCTGTCCAAATAATAATAACAACAGTAACAGATACAAAAGCAAGATGTGAACTATATCATAATTCATAAATCAAAAGAAGAAAGATCTTAAAAACCTGCATAGCCATGGTTGCAGAAGAAGACTTGGAGTATTCAAGATTCGTCGGTATCTACAGCCGGATAAACCAGATACCGGACTAAATTTCACCGGAAAACAGCTAAATCTGAAAAAGAAGAAGAAGAAGAGAAGAGAGAGAACTCTTTTGAGATTGGTGAGAGAAATGAGAGTAGTTTAGAAAATGATCAGAGTCAAGGGTTCGTTTAAAAGAGCAAGAGGAAGATAAGCCACGTCAGCACAAGTATTAATAATTTGTTCTTTTGAAGAAAAAAGGGAGATGAGTCGAGAAACTCTGTTGTATCATGTGGCTCAGGTTAAAAGATGCTAGTGACACGTGGAGGAGGTCTTCTTCTCATCTTCTACGCTTTATCGCTTTGTCTTTGTGGAGAAGATATTTGGTTAATATCTTGTCGGATATTTTTAATAATAGAAAGTTTGGCCCAAAACCGACTGGCGAGCGCGTGGTTTGTTTAACAACGTTGTGAACATACTTCAACTTTAATCAAGTTGATAGGAAAATATATTTTGGTTAGGTGCACAATTAAGGTTTTGATTCGAATATATTATTTTAATTTATTGTTAATTTGTATACTCTTTTCCCACTGGATGGTTTTATACTACAGATTAAGCATTTTCAAATATAACTTCAGAGTATTTAATTATTTTTAGCAATAGTATTCAAGTAATAATCCAACAATCAATGAATAGATGGAATATTATGATTTAACATTGGATTTGTTCTTGTTTAGATCCTTTTGTGGATATTTGTCAAAAGTTCCTTTTTGATAACTCTATGTCAAAAGTTTTTTATCGTTATAAAAATAAATAAGTATTGGTAAACTGTATGATACATTTATATATTTTGACATAGAGTATTAGAGTTTATAAGAACGATTAGGTTTGGCAGATCATATGCTTGAGTGCCTCTCTTTTGACCAAAAGCATGTGGCAAAGAAAGCGAGTAGCGAATAACAACATACACGAGCGTGGTTTCTAAAAGAAGAAACAGATATTTGATTAAATTCAGTAACCGTCCATTTCAAAAAAAAATACATCAAAAACAACATTAAATAGGTATTTTATGTGAAGGCCAAAATTTGTGGTAATAAAAATATCTGAAGTCTAAAAAAAACAATATCCCATTTAGACATTTTCATGTACAACTGTCTCAAATAGACCTAAAGCGAACAAATACAACTTTTTGTTTGCACTTTTTGTTGAGTCAGCAAAAGCGTCCTCTGGGATGTTCCATAAGTCAGCCACGTAGACAGTTCGAGTGTCCACCGAGATAGGTGGGTGTTGGTCTTTCGGTTCGGTTTGGATGATTTGGATTTAAGGTTCACTAAACCGAGCTTAGAGAGAAAATGCTGAGCTTTTTATTGACATCACAAGTGTATATATAACCCAAAGAGCTTAAGTAAACTTCATGACATGATATAAGAGGAAAGATGATCGGTATTCATGGCATGAGAATAGGATAATATACATAGAAGATATGAGAATATCATAATACTCCTCAAATTAAGGTTTTGCATTTTCTCTCTATCAAACTAAAATCCATCAAACCATTCAATCATTCATATCAAACTAATACTCCTCAAGTTAAAGGTTTACATTATCATATACATAGTGATTGAAGATACGAGGTTTCACATTTTCTCTCTATTTTTTCTTATCATGATGCAACATGTGTATGTGTATGTGTATATATATATGTTATTATCAAAATGAATTTTATAGGTGTAAACACTTGAAACGCGTGACTAGTTACAATCTCATAAAAAATTGGTATATCGTGTAACAATCGCGTTGGATTGAAACTGTATAGGAAACAAATCCAAGAGAAAAGAGACTATGGGACTGGGGATTTGAATTAGGATTTTTTACTATTACTGTAAGAATATTTATATTTCATTAATTGCAAAAATCCAGCTTATTCTTAGCAGTGAAACAGTAGAATATTTTTATGGCGATAATTAAAAACGTTGACCAATCGCATCTGCACGTTAAAGCCCAATTGATTTATAATCAAGCCCAGTGAAAACCTGGTGACAGTTTTACACTTGACTACTGATCTCAGGACAGCTTTGGCTTGATTGCGAAGTTTTCTTGTCGCAATGGAGATGAGAGCTTTGGTTTCGTGTTCTGCCGGAAACGGAGGCTCTGGTTCGATTAGCCTCACGAATGTCTCTCCATGGATCGCAACAGTTGCTGCTCGCGTGGACAGAGATTTTCCAGCAACAACACTGAAGCTGGGAAGAAGCACATTCAACGGAGCTTCGCTCTACAAAAACAAAAGCAGGAGAAATGTTTTGTCTCGCAACAAACAGTTTCTTCCTCTTGCCTTCTTGGGGAAAAACGACTCTACCAGTCCTGATCCGACCTTGCTCTGGGATAAAAATGGTTGGTGATCAACTTTTTTCTTATGATTGTGTTTTTTGCCATTTTCATTTACATTTCATATGAATACAAAACCTTGGAACTATGATCCATCTTTGTTTGCTTATGTTTTTGTTGTTAAATTTCTTTTCAAGAGCTTGTTTATGGCTAAAACTACAATTCTTGATGCATTTTCCTTGTAGACTGATTCAGTATGTGTTGGTTTTACAGATATATCTGAGTCTCAAAGGACAGTTACAATCTCTGACTCCATTACAGAGCATCAAAGCGTGTCTGAAGTGGATGATTACTGTAAGGCTCTTGGAGGGAAAAGGCCAATCCATAGGATTTTGGTGGCTACCAATGGAATGGGTGCTGTGAAGTTTATCACAAGTGTTAGAACATGGTCTTACAAAACATTTGGCAATGAGAGAGCCATAATGTTAGTGGCTATGGCAACCCCTGAAGACATGCGGATCAATGCGGAGCATATCAGAATGGCTGATCAGTTTGTTGAAGTTCCTGGAGGAACAAACAATCACAATTATGCCAATGTTCAGCTTATTGTAGAGGTAAAATGCATTCTTAATTCGTTTACTAATAAATATTTGTGGTCTTTTTGGAGTTTTCTTGATTCATTTTTGATGTGTAGATGGCAGAGGCAACGAGTGTGGATGCAGTTTGGCCTGGTTGGGGTCATGCATCTGAGAACCCTGAGTTACCTGATGCTTTAAATGCAAAAGGAATCGTATTTCTTGGTCCTGAAGCAGCTTCAATGGTGGCATTAGGTGATAAGATTGGTTCGTCGTTGATTGCACAAGCTGCTGATGTACCTACTCTGCCATGGAGTGGTTCCCATGTAAGTAAA